GCGCCGGGTCGCTACAGCAGAGAGGCCTTGCCCGGCAGCGCCGGGGAAGGAATCTCGGCCTGTATTTGCGAAGTCGAGGCTTTATTTCCTTCTTCCCGCTGCTCCCTTTCCCTTATTTTTTTCTGTCTTCCCACTGTCCCGTCGTCCATAACAGGCAGACCTGGTAGAAGCGTGTCCCAGTTAAACTAGGTGCTGTTGGGGTGGCAGCACATAGGTTAAATAACAGGTGGAATAGAGCTAATGTTTGAGATCGTCTCCTTCTCCTGCACAGGCTCTTCCCCCGTTTGTGGGGAGTAGCAGGAAGGTCAGAGAAGGGGAGTCTTCAGGGTAAAGTTTTCAGGGAAACATTTTTGTTTGTTTATTTATTTTGTTTCTGAGGTAGCTACTTGAGCTTACAGGCACTTGTGCATTTGGGGAGCTGCATGTTTGTATTTTGGAACGCAGTGGGATGCTTTGTGAGCATATCTGTGGACTAAGATGTTAAAGATATTTGGTGTATTTTAATGAGAACTATAGTGTCTCTTTTCCAAAAAAAATAAAGGACAATATTATGACTCAGGTTATCCTCAGATCTTATGATGGTTATATGCATGGTGCAGGTAAAGGTATGATTAGGTAGGCAAATTGCATATTTGGCTATACCCTAGCTAGCTTAGTACAGCGTGGGTAGCAGTGCAGGTTCTGCAAACCCAGTAATTCCATCAAATGCATCATGAAATGGCCCCAGCTGAGCCCCAGCCAGCTTCTAACTGGACGCCTTGGTGTGCAGCGGCGGCCCTTTTTCTGGGTCACAGTGTGGATAAACTTGAGATAAAGATGCACCAAATAGCTCACATCTAGGTACTTGCCAAAGGGACAAGTTCTTCCTTAAACTTAGTTCTTTCTCATATTTTAAATCCTCATAATCACCAGCATAAGCTACAGTTTGGACAGGAGCTCTTTCCACATCCACAGTGCGCTAGCAGGTCAGTGCTCCTGGCACTCCCTCTAAATGCAAAAGTAAACAGCAGAGTTGGTCTTTAGCACCGTGTTTCTCCCTTCTTGGCCATTCTCATTACTTTGCTGATAGCACAATGCTAACAAAATAAATGTCTGTTGGAAGCAATAGTTATATATTGCAACAATATAACTGCAAAACTCCAGAGAACAATAGCAAAAGGAAAAATTACTGCCTGCTGTAACAGAATATAAGCCCGTTTCAGATATTAATGTATATAACTAACCAAACCCATAAATACAATAACTATGCCTTTTAGCTCTGGAATGGTAGCTTGTTTCATGACTTTTTTAAATTATTCTTTTTTCTTCCCAGCTATTTTGTTTCTTAGTTAAATATGATTTAATGGAAACTCTGATGGATCATTTGATATTTATTTACATAAATATTATTGGAAAAATGCTTTTTGGGCTTTCTTTAGGGGGAGCACTCAAAAGTTGTTTGCAGGAGAGTAAGTCAAGGGGAAGAAATGAAGGAGCATTCTTCCTTCTTATTAAAAGAATCTTATGAGAGAGTAGAACACCAGTTTTCCTTATGTGTGAATTTAGGATAGAAGATAGACGAATACTAACTGAGAACTTGTCTGAGCAGGAAAAACCTATGTCAGAGAACAAATTGCAACATTTTGAGTGTTTTTTTGTTTGTTTGTTTGCTTTTAAACGAAGTTTTAGTGCCTCATAGGCATCCATCCATCCATCCTGTAGTAAGTTAGCATAGCATCTATATGTGTGTGTGATTTGGGTTGGTGTTTGTTTGTTTCAGGTTTACATGCTCCCTAAGAGGTATCAGGAACCTTGTCCTGCCTATCAATGTTTCTTTTCTCTTGGTATTTATTCCTTTAGCTAGGATTTAGAATTCAGGACAGTATGCGCAGATATAGAGCTCTATTTGCAAGGAGACTGTGGTGTGATGACATTCAGTGTTGCCACACCTAACTTTCAGGCAAGTACTCCCAGAAATTTTTGGGAAGGGAAAGCTGTTTACCTGAGGAACAAGAAGTGTCTCTGGCTAGATATTTGACTGAGCTTGTAGTCAAACTCATAAGCATTAGGTATTTTCTAGATAGAACTGCCAGTGTGCTACAGATTTAAAAGTTTGAAATCAAAGACATTTTTCAAAAACTGCAAACATTGTAACTTATGTGTGCTCTAGAAAATGATCCAAAAATGATGCAATTGAAGAGAGATTATGGAAGAGGCTAAGCTGGTTCCACTGCAATTAGGTCAGTTCCTCATGCAGTGGTAGCCATGGCACAAGTGATGGAAAGACAAAAAGATTCATGAGATAGGAAAAAAGGTATAAATGGAGTATTCTCATAATCCTGGTGTGAGATTAGTCCATATTGGGATTAACTGTAAACTTCTTGGTTCTTAGGAAAAAAAAAAACAAACCATTTTCCGTGGGTTTGTTTGGAAAAAAAACTTAGTTTTGTAAGCATCAAAGCTAATCAATTCAAAAACAGTTACTAGATTATGTTTTTAAATTTAGGGAAAGGGAAATGAGGGAGGCATTTTATTCCATTGTCTAAGAGCTGTATTGACACATAAGCTTTTTTTGGTACAAAATTCTGACTTAGAGAAAGTAGTCTTGTAGATTTTAATATATATATATATATGTATGTATATGTATACTTAAGAAGTATTAAATGGTGCAAATGCTGTGCAAACTCTGTGCCTGTATCTTCAAGGAATTACCACAATTGTGTCTTCTCATATAAAAGTTCTTAAGTTGTAAATTAAGCTGTAACATTTGATTACCAAAACTATTTATTTTGGTATAACTAAATCCTCCTTTTCATGTATAGTTTTACTTTGATATTTGAATCTTTACTTGCCATTCATGTCATGTTGTCATGTTTATAGTAAAATTAGCAGGCTGAGGCTGTTTATGTAAGGTGTTTTAGTCACTGCACCTTTGCAAGATGTATTTGCTCCCATATTATAGAAAGCTAGTAGGCTTAATTGACAATTTAGGCCTTCATAAAATTGTAATGCACACAGCTGAAATATTATTTTGAATATTATTTTTTTACTCTCTATGTGTGAGTGTATGTGTACACATGCAGGGGGGAGAAAACAAAGGTCTGAGTTTTCTGGTGGCTTACAGCAGGTAGATTAGTTTGGCTTTTTAAAAACTTGATGTCAGCACAAATTCTCTTTAAATCGACTAATTCATAGATCTAATGTCATTCCTAAAATAATAAAATTCAGATAATGTAAGTTATTTTTGAGGTAGGAGAAACAACTCCCCTGAAGTGTCCCCTCCCTCCCCCACATTTTCTTAGATAAGTTTGTTGAAACCAAGGGGCTGTGGCATGTCCCATAATGGTGTGTTTGCTGATCCCTTTGTGCCTTCTGTCTCTTCCTGTCCCTTGCCAGCTCCAGGCTTCCCTTTCCTCTCTGAGAGCCCAGCTGGCAGCAGCAGTTTGCAGTGCAAATAAATACAACCCGTGTGGGTTTTGACCTCACTTTACAAGTGCTGCTAATGTTGGGGCATTTTCTGGGTAGTGCATTCTAGAGGAAATTTTTAAGAATTTGGTCTCTTAATTTTTTGGTTTTGTATGCCAAAAGGATAAAATGTCCAAGCTGGTTAACAAATGATTCCTTTCCTACTGTTTGTCTTGCATAATTTTATAGGTTTAACCTTTACAGAGCAAAGCATGGCAAGAAATGCTTCTTCATATAGAGTTGTGGTTGCTGTTTCCGTTTCTATTAACGAATAAACTCTTTATTCTTTTGTTTTAACTTAAAAGAAATGGCTGCAAACAAATGACCTTCAGAAAGAAGTATACCAGCACCTGGCCTATTATGTACCAAAAATATACTGCAGAGGTCCTAACCCTGCCCCTCAAAGAGAAGACCTGCTGGCACAACAAGTTTTGCTGGGACCAATGGAGTGGTATCTTTGTGGTGAAGATCCTGCGTTTGGCTTTCCAAAGCTTGAGCAAGCAAACAAACCTTCCCATCTCTGTGGCCGTGTCTTTAAAGTGGGAGAACCTACATACTCTTGCAGGTAGACTCAGCATTTCTAATTTGCGAGCAGGTTTAGACGAAAATACTGTCCTTAAAAAAAAAAAAAAAAAAAAGTTCGTAGCACAAATGTATCTTCATAGCTACCTTACAATGCTTCGTGGAGGGTGGGATTAAAGGAAAATTATAAAAAAAAAAAAAAAAAAAATGTTCATAGCACGAATGTATCTTCAACAATGCTTTGTTGAGGGTGGGATTAAAGGAAAATTAAACCAACTAGTACCTTTCTGTTCACAAATCTGTAGTGTTTTAATATAGAGTGTTTTCTGTACAAAAGAAATGCAAGATGAAGAAAGTAGCTGGGTGAACTGTCAATGCGATTACATGGTGTCGACCAAAAATAAGTGGGCAGGTACACGTGCATATAATTAAGGTGTTTAATATTAGCTATTAGAGCTGATCCTGTGATATGGATCTCTTTCCTTGACCTGTTCAACTAATACACTGGATGCTGAAACAGTTTTATCAGCTTATCTTGCCTTGTCCCTTTCTCTAGCTCTCCCCAAAGTACCATTTTTCTCAAAAGCATATACAGTTTGAAGAGTACTGTAAGTTACTAATCAATTGCAGGTGTTTTATACTGGCTTAAAAATAAGATTTTTATTACTAATGTACAGTAATCTCTTTATTCTTCCTTTCTTGAACCTTCAGTAGTTTGATACATTTAGCTTGTTCCCCCTCTAGCGCAGCCTTTTCTTGTCCTGTGTGCTTTTTGTCATGCTCTTCGATTCTTGAACTCCCAACAATAATAATAATTTTTACTTCTGATAGTGAGCCTTTTTCTTTCATTTTCTGTCTTTCCTTTTTCAGAGAGCTGAGGTTTTGGTGTAGTGAGACCTCTGTCTTATTTTGAAGGTTTATTTTCCTGCTTTTGGTGCTTTTGCTGGATTCTATTCATTCCCTTCATTTAGAAGGGGGGGGGTATATCTGTAGAAGAAGTTTACTCTAGTGCTTTCTCTTTTTAGAAACTTGATACCAGGTGTTATTGACTGAAGCTCTGGGTGAGAATGGACTTAAGATACTTATTCATCAAGTTGCCTCTCCTGCATTTCCATTTCAGGAGTCAGAAGTAGTAGTAGTATTGGAAATTTTTTGAAGCCTCTCGGCCTGAGGTAAATGATCTTGAATTGATGGCATGCCATAGATGCCTGCAACTGCCAAGAAAGCTCTTCACTTTGTTGGCATACACGTTCTCAGGTGCTTTCTTCACAATGTGAAGAAGAGTAGAGAGATCTAGATATCATTAGCTACATATTTCCCTTCCTTTTGAGATTGAAGGCTGAAGGTATCAGAGACTGAAATGAATTTCTACTTTTTTCTTTTTTTTAATCTGGACCTAAAGAACTGAAAAACAAACCTTGAAACTACAATTTTAATGCAAGTCCAACTGCATCCCAGCATAGAAGTAATGATATGTTAAGTATTAAATGCACTTTGTTTGAACTGATGAAGTTGTGGGAATTCTGTTTTTATCTTCTAAACACCTGCTTTTTCAAAATCAGCAGATCTTTATTTGAAGTGTATCCTCAAGTATGATGAAAACAAGGAAGAATGCAGTCTATTAGACTATTCAACTTTTAGACTATTGAAATCAGTTGCCTTACAGAAGCTATGTTTTTTCAATATTTCTTGGGTAGGCATCTACACGTAATGCATAATTCCCACTGATTCTTTCTGCCGCTTTTGCTACTTCTCTCTAACTACAGGTGTGCTTATAGATGGAACCTTCTTATGCTCCCTGGCCTCCTGGTTGAAGAAACTTTGTCCCCTCTTCAGAGAGTGTATAGGGCTAAACTTAGAAGTGAAAGGTTGATGTAGTCTGTTGCATGCAGTTTTTTCCCAATATTCAGCCCAAGAAATTGAGAACAGAATTTTCTTTTCTTCATTTCCAGACTGCTTTCTCTGCGGAAACCCTCAATTTCATCTTCAGAATAATATATATGTTTGTCAAAAAACTCACATTGGGGCTGCTTGAAAATTACCTATTGTAAAATATGGAATAAAGGTGAAAATATTTGTTTTAATACCTTTTCCTTACTGTTTTCAGAGACTGTGCAGTTGACCCAACTTGTGTGTTGTGCATGGAGTGCTTTCTTGGAAGTATTCATAAAGACCATCGATACAGGGTTAGTAATGTGATTTAAATCTACAATGTAGTTGCTAGTTATTTTATGTTTGTACAAAATTCATTGCTTGTAATTTAAGGATGTAAACAACTTCTAATATTTAACTATTTTAAAAGGTATAGAAAAATGTTGAAGAAACTACTTATATTAAAAACTTCCTTTAACTACATCATTATTAGCTTTGTATAATAGTGAGGTTTTTTTGTAAATGTGAAAGAAGTTCATAAAGCTTTAGATGTTTGTTTTACTAGTTTGTGCTACTAACAATAGTATAGATTATTAGTAGTAGGGATAAAAATGCAAGGAGCTTGTTGTATTTATAAGTTAGGAAGATAAGTAGAAATGATCAGGCTTTTTACAGGCTTTCCATAAATCTGTGAGTTTTTTGGTATATTTGTTTGACAATATTTTATTGCCCTGTTGCAAATATAAAACACTGCATAATTACAGTAAATGTTAGAATGAAGGAGAGGAGGAAGAAAGGAGAAAAAAAAAAAAAAAAAAAGGCCCTGGAGAAACCCAGTGCAACTCCCCCTCTTCTCTGAATTCCCTGACATGATTTACTGGTACCTCTTGGAGGTTCTTAGTCTGCCTGCTTAGTGAATTAACAAGACTAGCTGATGTTCAAAAGTATGAGAAAATGTTCTCTAATGCCTATCTGGTTTTGTTGATTGATAGTAAGATGATATGTACCTGTTTGCCAAAAATAGGTGGAAAAAAAACACCTTTCTCTGAATTACTTAATAGTTTTTGTTCCGAATTATTACATTTATTGCTTTCAGGTGTTCTTAGCTTTAAAATTCAATTTTATTGAAACAGTGTAAATATATAACTGCATTATCTAGATACTTTTTTCTATGATTACTAAAACTGATAATGTGGAAAACTTGTAAGTTCTGTCTGTTAACTCCTGTTCTTACAAACAACACATCTTTTCCTCATTATACAGCACTGCTCCATGAAATGATTTGTCTTTGTTCTAATTTAAAACATGGGAATCTGGTATAGCAAAAATGTTTAGGTCAGATGTTAAACTTGTGATTGTGCTTTTATGTTAGCCTATGAGTAGCCACATTTAAACCATACATTTTTAGATATATTAACATAACTGGTTTGTTTTTAAATAACTATAGATGACCACGTCTGGTGGAGGAGGGTTCTGCGACTGTGGTGATACAGAAGCTTGGAAAGAAGGTCCTTATTGTAAAAAGCATGAAATCAACACTTCAGAGACTGCAGAAGAAGAGGTAATAACCATTGAGATATGTCTAAAACACTTTTTTTTTTTTAAAAAAAAAAAAAAAAAAGGGGGATCAGATGAGGGTTTTTTTTTTTTATTGATGGCTCTGGGTATCTGAAGTACATTTTAAATAAAGAAAAGAGAGAGAGAGAAATGGCAGTAGCTACTATGTTGCAGCAGGGAGAGAAGCGTGACCTTTTTTAGTGGCTGCTGCTGTAGCTCTGGGTGGAGGGTGTCCTGGAAGGTGCAAAATCCACATAATGGGATGTGTGCTCCCCATGTGACAGGATAACAATTATCTGTGAACAAGACTGAAACACAGGTTCATCATTATGAAATATTTGCATGCATTTAATGATTTATGTATCACTGCACCTTTGAACTTGCATCATAAATCATTATCACAAGACAGGTGTTGTACAAGGTCAGATAGGATTCCTGTCCCCAAGTTTTATGTTAAATATAAAACAAGGCAATATTTTCTTCTACTCTGCTGTATATTAATATTGGTAAGTGAAATAAAAGATACAGTGGTTTCAAAATATGTTTTTGAAGGCACGGACAAAACAGGTTTAGATGCAAATGAGCGTTGAAAGCAAAATCTCTTGCAATGTGTGTGGAAGCGGGAACCATGAAAGTGAAAACATGATGGTGTTTGAAAAGTTGAGTGATCAGAGGAAGGTCAGCGTTTAGATACTGAATGCTGGGTTCTATGGTTGATGTTTGTCAGTGAAGAACTAGGGGAAAATGTTTGATCATTGATCCTATTATGTCTTATCAAATGTGAAGTTATTCAAAGAAATACATCACTGAAGATGCTTATATCATCTTTAACAAAAGGAGTTATAGATTTGACAAAGTTTCCATCGAGAGCCATTTCATTTCTCAACTGCTATTTTTCAGGATCCCCTTGTGCACTTATCAGAAGATATGGTAGCAAGAGCTTATAATATTTTTGCTATTACATTTAAATATGCAGTCGATATACTAACATGGGAAAAAGAAAACGAATTGCCTGGTCTAGAGATGACGTAAGTATAATATTTGTATTCTGCCTTTGCAAGGCTTGTAGGTGTTTACAATAGAAGTGTAAATTCTTATTTCAAGCATATTTTCTGTCTTCCCTAAAATTCCATTGCAAGTATGTTTTAGACATAGTCTAAAATCATTTCTAATTTACTTTTCCGTTATCTTGTGTCTTCACAACCCCTTTGGCTTTGTAGTGGTGAAACTGTCTCTGATACCTTCTTTTTCTTAATAATCTAAGAGAAGCTTTAATAAGTTGCAATTGCCCAAAACAAGTGGAAGGTCAATTTCTTGTGACCAGTCAAAATTGTTGAAATTATGATGGTCAAAATGTCTTACACTTCAGTGATCCATTTATTAGATACTAGATAGAAGATTGAGGTGTATTGTAGCAGCATAGCTAAAATGGGTGCACTTGTGGTGTTCTGCTAGTAACTTTGATGTGTGAAGAACAGCACTATGTATAAAAATAATGGGACTCAAAAGATTGCATTGAAAATAGCACTGAAATCTATTTAAGTTTAAACAATGATTTTGAGGCTTTTTAAGACTTCCAATTTTTTTGTTGTTGTTGTTTAATAGAGACCTTTATGTAGGATTGGGGAAGCAAATGTAGATCAGTAGAACGTTTCAGGGGTTTTGGGAAACATTGAATATGCTGCAAGGAAATCTGTTCTCCGTAGTAGGAAACAACATATTCAGAATTGACCAATGTTCCAGAGTAATGCTTATGCTAAACTGTTGCACTAATGCCATGAGGTTTTTGCTTATTTTGTATTTAATTTCGCTTTGAAGCGAGAAGAGTGACACTTACTACTGCATGCTTTTTAATGATGAAGTCCACACCTATGAACAAGTTATATATACTCTTCAGAAAGCTGTCAACTGCACACAGAAAGAAGCTATTGGCTTTGCAACAACCGTAGATAGAGATGTAAGTAAATACCATGCTGGAACCTTTAAACTTAATGTTTATTTTATGACTACACTTACTCTAGTCTGTGTGCCAAAGGAGTGTGGTTTATGCAAGCACGCCCTGCGTGTCGGGCCGTCCTGAAATCCTGTAGTTCATTGGCCCATTCGGACCAGAGTTAATACAGGGTGCGTGTGTCAGTGCAGTGGTACCGTGTGTCAGTGCAGCTGTGCTCCAGAGAGGGTGGATGACAAGGTGTCTCCCCCACCTCCTTTTTTTAACCAAGGACAGACCAGCAACCTTATCTCATCCCTTACTATACACCCAAGAGTTTAACCTGGAAGAGAGCCTGCATGGGCTGCAAGCATGGGAAGAGCTTCTCAAACGATAATACCAGACAACTGTAAAAGGAAAAATCCATAATGAGCTGCTTTCGTTCCAGTGCTCGTAGAACTTCTTGTTGTGTGGTTTCTAATCTAGCTTCCCCCCGATATTTCTTAGAAGATGGCAGGAAGAGGTAAAGCATTTCTTACATATAAAAAGAACATTGAGTGCAAAACCACTATGTACTCAATATAGTTTTAACTAGCATGTTAGTTTAAACAAAAAACAAACAAAAAAAGTCTGCCAGCTGTCTTCTAGCTTGTGTGTGTTTTTAAGAAGAGGCCACTTTCCTTCCGGGCAACTTTGAAAGCCCAACTAGTTTTTATTATTTACGCATGAGCCTGTAAGCAGCTGCTCTGAAACTGAATGTCCTTTAAGATCTTGTTTGCTTGTGGTTAATGTTTTTGGAGAAGATTTTTCGAAATGGAATATGACCATCGTTTTGTAATTTTAAGAGTTAAAATGAAGGAAGTAGATGGAAAATGAAATAAGTGCTTTATGTTGCTTAGTACTCCATTTTTTTTTGTGTACAATCACTAATTTATGTCTGTGATATTAGTAAATATTTATAACTTTTCCTACTGTTCCCTCATTGTGTGCTAGCTGGATCTGATGCTCTTCATCGTAGGTTGCACATTGGAGACCAAGAGATACTTCTTTACAATAGATCTCTCTACTACTTCTAAGTTTATTTATTGAAAATAAATGAAAAGATACTGCCTGAAATTATGTTTTGGCATCAGACTAGAGCTAAAGCTTGAGTAAGCTATGGTGTGCATATAGTACTGCATAAATAAAATAATTATCTATGCTTCAGCATATGTATTGGCAGTATGGAAAGACTTGCAGAATGTGAAAATTTCCAATTTTGAAACAAACTAGGTAATTACTTATGTCAGATAAGAAGGCCACTCAGCTTTAGTGCCATCTTTTAAAAAAGATACTGTCATGTATGAAACGAAGTGTAGAGGTTGCTTTTTGGGAAGCCAGGTGTATAGCTATATACAGTACTTCTGAAAATGGAATAGAAACAATATTAGCTTGTATCTGAAACTTTTACCTTATATTTTATGGTAAGGTAAAAGATATTATTTGAACTGCTTGTTAGGAAGTTGGTGGTAATATTGCTACTTTATAAATCTAAAGGGGCGCAGATCTGTTCGGTATGGAGACTTTCAGTACTGTGATCAAGCAAAATCTGTAATAGTGGTAAGTAATACTTTTTTGTCTCATCTTAAAAAAGGTTTTACAACTTTTTCTTAAATTTTTTTTAGCCTTGACTCTTCATAATAATAAAAATGCTGGGGGTCAAAATGGTTTACAGTAGCTCGTAGGTATTTTTTCTGTTTTGATATCGTTTGTCAGTTTAATAAAACAATACTTCATATTTACAAGTAGAGATGTTTACAAACAGATCTACAAACAAATGTTTTCGTATAAATATTTGTAATACCTATGAGCTACTGTAACAGAGATGTTTTCGTATAGTTTTTTTAAATAGCATTTAATGGAAAAAAAGTTAAATCAGGGTTTGAATTATAACGTTGCTTCTCTAAACCTTTTCCAGTGAAGTCCTGATAAATGCTTTAAAAATATATAGCTTGCCATGTCTCATTAATTTAGGAGTCTCCGACATTGAGCAGGAGTTCCAAATGTGAGCCTCTGTAACTGCATGCCAGTTCAGATCAATGAAATTAAGCTGCTTGCTTTTTTTTTTTTTTTTTCCCTGTAATATAATTTGGTTGCCTTCTTATGGCAAGCACAAGCTTTGATGTGCTGGTAGAATCCAAGTGTGAAACTTTTAAAAAAAAAAAAAAAATTGATTTTCATTATATATATTCATAATACTTGCCTGTGACAGAATTCTTCTATTTCAGTTTTACTACATTCCATTTCATTCCATGCTTTCATGCTTTAACTGTTTATTTCTGGAAACCCTGCACAGATGAGCAGTTTTTCCTTCTTAGACAGCTGTGTCACTTGTGTATCACGTTGTGACGAGCAAATGTGCATGGGTCCCTTAAGCTGGGCATGAGGCTGCTTATTAGTAACACAGAGTAGATCTATGTGTACGCTGATAAGAGGATGGGGGTGGGAAATGATTTGGCCTAAATATTGACTAATAATGTCCTTCAAAGGACAGAAGTATGACTTTTTGGTTTTGTTTTGTTCTCAGTAGTGATGCTTGTTATTAGAATGAGTGTGTATTAATATTAAAAATACTTAGATTAATTACAGGAATACTGTATTGCTGTGCAGTAATGTGTGCTAGCCCTTACTCATGTAAACATTAATATCTTTTTCCTTTTCTTTTTAAGAGAAATACTAGTCGTCAGACAAAGCCACTGAAGGTTCAAGTTATGCATTCGTCTATTGTTGCCCACCAGAGCTTTGGTCTGAAGCTCCTAACTTGGCTTGGCAGTATTATAGGATATTCAGGTAGGCAAACTTGAACTTTGTCAAGACAAGCTAGAGAAGGTGTGTGAGGCAAGCTGACTTCAAGTAGTTTCTCAAGTACTTCAAATATGTGATATGCATAAAGCTAAGCTATTAATATCTTGTCAAGTTTCGTTCTGTTTTCTGCTTATGGAGTGCTGTTCTGAGCTCTAAATTCCATTGGAAAGTGGTGCCCATCCTGCTTTCTGTGCTCAGTTGCTGCTTTGTGCTTAAGTGATGTTGAGCAGAATCTGTTTGAGAATTGCTGTCAAATGCTCTACGCTGGCAAGATAGTTCTCAGCCCTTAGTCCTTTTTAAATGAATGCAGTAAGCTAAAAATAACTAGTCTGCATAGATAAAAAAAAATAGAAGTTAGTTGAAGAATGACGTTGAAAGTGAACATTTCAGATTTGCTGCAGTGTTAAGTGGAACAGCAGAGAAAACAAAAGGACATCATGGCTTTTGGAAAAATATAAAGCCAATGAGGTGTTAATTGATATTTATAAAGAGGCTTCTGTGAAGGAATCAAAATGTGTGTTTAGGCTACATGTTAGTTTGGTTTTGAGTCCTCCTTTGTCCTTAGGAATTATGAAGTTGCAGAGGCACAGACCTTGAGGAGAAACAAAAGGAAAATGTATCAGTGCAGATACAGTTCCAAAGCACTTAATGTTGTTGTGCAGCTGTAAGTGTTGCTAAGAATTATCAGTGGAGGAATCTCACTGTAACATTGTATATGCATCCTCCTGCGAAGGTACAATGTTTGTTCAGAGTTTATTGTATATTAGGCTTGTAGCTGAAGAACTAGCCAGGGTGACAGGTGCAGGGTCTCTATATGAGGTTATTTGTGAAAGATAGGTCATTTATATTTGTATAAGTTAACATTTTTTGAGAAGTTGAGAAAATACAGTAGCAGTTTATTCAAGCAGGTGTTGCTGTATATAAATTTAGTATATATGAGCATAAAGGAGAGACATGAGGATACTTCATTTCTGAGGTAAGTTTTCCTTTTGATGTGCCTTTCAGCCAGGCACAGTCTTTCTAATTTTCTTTGGATACAGTTTTGTGCCAAGTCATTTGTGCTGCTACTCAAGTCACTGATTTTCAGCACCTAATTAAAACTGTGAAAAGGCAATTTGAACTTGCTAATGAAAACACTGAATTCAGTTTGCTTCATCTGTGTGTGATGTTTCTAAAATTCTGTAGAGTTCACTTCATTAAATTTGGTTTCCTTTATGATTCAGAAGGGCAAGAAAGTGTTTGATGGTAAGCATTATGCTCGTGTGCTTACATCTGTGACCTACGTGCCCGGCTACTTTAACTGCCTTGTGCACCTTGGGATAGAGTCTTACAACATACTTTGAAGTGAAATATACTTCTAGGGGGAAAAAAGAAATATCTTTTGACAAATGGTAACAAACCACCAGGCCATCCAGGCTGTTTTTAACCAGTCTGTTCTTCTGCAAGATGAGCTAAAGGAAACGTGCTCTGTAAATCCTGGCCAGTGGGATATTTGCATGTGAAGGGGTCTTTTGTTTTGACATACTGGTAGGAGAAATTAATGTTAAACTCTTGACAGTGAATAAAGGGAAAACCCTACTATGGGGTTTTTGTCACAAGCTTGACTGTGGCATCCTTGATAGCAAATACCAGTTCTTTGTGAAAAAGGGTCTCTTTACCATTTGTTGAAGAATGTGGCAGGGTCTCTGTTAACAGCAGGAAAAGATTTGAATCTGAACTCTGAAGGCAAAGTAAGAGTAAGATTTCACAGAATATACATGTAGCATTGTACCAAGCAGTGCAGAACTGTCCAGGCTAAATGCTAGTTATATTTGCTTTACTAGTCAGTCAGATATAGGAAAAGGGTTTGTGGCTTCCTTTACAACAGAGCCATGAGAAAGAGCATTCGTACTCTGCATTCATTGCATTGTTTGTTTTGATGTTCAGGATTTTGTACACATATAGGTGAAGCAGTTATGAGTAAAGTGTTTGCTTTAGGAGGTTTCCTCATGGTCATCCAACGTACTATTAACATGTTTAGCCATGTATTAGAAAATTTTAGAAAGGAATACTTTCTTCTGCGTAAGTGGATGATGTTTATACATGTGTGTGACAGAGGCAACAGAGTTTTCCCATTTCAAGCTTTTGAAACTTCTCAGAGTTGATAGTGCATGGTTTTGGTGGAGTGCTTTGGCTTCTTTGCAATAGCACACATGACAAAGTGCACCGTGTAACAATTCTCGCATTTGAAATGTTTGCTGAAAGACCCTGTCTAGCCCTTATATAGTATCCTCATTCACTAAGCTGACACATTATTTTTTTTTAACATGAGTCATATATGCAATGTAAAACTCGTCTATTTTCAAAATATCCAAAAAGTATCATGAAGCTGTGTAATACTTAGCAATTTTGGTGGGACTTGGATGTTTGTAGGCTTTTTGGAAAAAAAAACAGTTATCTGGTTGCCAAAATATGGGTTAAAGAGTGAGTGTTGAACATCAGTTTTGATCAATATCTTTCAATTACAGTATTCATAAGAAACAGAGTGTACTCATGAAATTCCAGATAGCAGGTATCTGCAGATTAGGAATCTCCTGACTTAAAACCAATAACCAAATCCTCTCTCATTCCTAATGAGGAAAGTCTCTTATCTTATACGCATTTTTTGATGATTTCCCCTCCCTGACCTGATTTATTGCTTATTATTAGTATGGTGCGTCTCTTGCTCTTCTCGTGAGAGGCAATTCAAAAATTAAAAAAGGTTGTTGAACTAAAATGTATACCAATATGCATATTGTGTACTATGAAAATTTGCAGTATATCAAAATAATGTACTATTTATTTGAAGGTATAATTAACTTTAAATTTGTTTAATTATTTCTTTTTGATAAGATGGCCTTCGTCGAATACTGTGTCAGGTTGGCTTACAGGAAGGGCCGGATGGTGAGAATTCTTCTCTTGTGGATAAGCTGATGCTGAGTGATTCTAAACTGTGGAAAGGTAAGTTTACTCCAAGTTCAGGAAAATGCTGAGTGATACTATGCACGATATTTTCCATTTGCTGCATCTGTCAAAGTTTGATCATTTTTGCTATGGTACATTGGAGATGAAATTGCCTGTATAATTATAATTTGTCCCTTCATTGTGAATTTCAAAATATATTGAGGACAAAAACATAAGGATGCTGTTTGGAGCTTTTCTGTATCCAATATTTCATAGCATGGATTTCTGACCTAATTTGATATGCAGGTGAAAATGCCAATGAATAGCAAAGTGAATTTGCTTTACAAGGTCTCAGTATCTAGATCATGCATCATCGCTCTTGTACAAGCACCCTTTCTCACATGCATGCATGCCCTTCCTCTCGCTTTCTTGTGCTCTCTTGCCATGGGGCCCATTCTCTTGCACTCTTTTTCAAGCGCTTCGCTTGCACTCACTCCCGCATGTTGTCTCTAAGTGCTGCTCTTCGTCTTTTACTACCAGCTGCCAGAAATCAGAGCAGCTCTGAATTGCAGACTTCGTTCATGTAGTAAGAATTCATATTTGTAAGTGTTGCCATGATGTTCTGACAAAGCAGTTGTTCATAGTCTTTCATTTTTATTGATAGGTGCTAGAAATGTTTATCATCAGTTATTTATGAGCAGTCTGCTTATGGACTTGAAATACAAGAAACTTTTTGCCATCCGCTTTGCACGAGTAAGTATTTTTCTTAAAAAGACATTGAAAGCTTAAACAGTTCAGCCAAGAGAGTTTAGTCAGCATGCAGAGCCTCAAGGGAGCTGCTATCCAGAACTTTCTTTGGCGGGAGGGGTGATAAATTGAAATTAAATTCTGGCTGCTTTATTTCTGTCCTCAAAACCTTTGTTATGCCAGCCTTTCACCTCTCAGGAAGAACATGAGCTTTACAAGTTCCCCAAAATTAAGGCAGTTGAGATTTTGTTTGTTTGTTTGTAGTCAATATAGGATGCCACTTCTTGAGAGCTAATTGTTCCCCACTGTTGAGGTGCAATCTGTCCCAGCAGTGCTTGGAAATAGTGTTTGAAATGCAGTAATGCTGATTAGTATTTCTGCAGTAACTAGTATTGAAATGTTTTGTCAGCACTGCGGAATTGTATTCACTGCTAAAAATAACTTTTTCACAGTAAAGGCTCATATTTTACTTGCTACTTAAGAAAACCAGAGTGAGTAGATCCCATGCCTAAGCTGGATAGGTGTCATGTTCTTTATATAACGTATTTCAATAATAGAGTTACTTGTCCCTTTATCACAGCATTAGTTTCCCAGAGCACACCCTTAAATAAAAAAATCAGGTCAGTGTGGATTAGAGGTGAATTTCCCCTTGTTGTTTAGAATTACCGGCAGTTGCAGAGAGATTATATGGAGGATGATCACGAACGGGCAGTATCGGTGGCTGCTCTGTCTGTCCAACTCTTCACTGTACCTACTCTGGTGAGTAGTACCTGTCTTTCTTTTAAAAACTGATAGTTGGCACTCCTTGCCTTTTTTTGCCTCCTTAATAGAACTATGAGCGATTGCAGAGTGATTTTATGAAAGATGACCACGACAGAGAGTTCTCAATTGCTGACCTCTCGATACAGATATTCACAGTGCCTTCTCTTGTAAGTACTGAAAGACCAAAGAAAAAAAGGAAATCTTTTTCTGTTGAAAGCCACGTGAGGCTATTGAACCCAGAGAGCATTCTCTAACATTATTGCAATGGAAAAGCAGGACATTGTAGTAGTCAAACTGTTCACAGTTTGCTGTGGATTACAAGGCTAAGTACGTGAGTGTCATGAAGTTTTGAATCTGCCTTCCTAGAGCAGTTTTGAGATTTTATTTTTAAGGTATTAAATATTTATGCATGGTCACACACATAATGCTTTAATTTCTGTTCATAATAGGTCACAGTTACTATCTGTAGAAATAAGACCGTGTAACTTGCATGCTACAGTTTCAGAGCATACCATCCTGGTGCGGTTAACTGTGGGCATGAGGCTTGTTTTTATGGTATTACTTCCTGTGGTACTTACAGACTCAGACCAACCTCCTTTCATGCTTCTGTTTAGTTTTTGTTTCAGGCCTTCAGGCTATGTTCACTAGGTCTGCTGGTCTTTCACCAGCTTATATGTGTTTGGGAAAGCCCTTTTTTCCTTCCAACCTCCAAATAAGTCTTTCTTACCCAGTAATACTAACTACACAGTTGATTTTTTTGGAGAGGTGGAGATTTTGGAAGTGAAAATACAATTTTGTAGTGAGAAATGTTTCAAAATGAGTGCCTCTGAATCTTTCAAATATTGAAATCTATAATTGACTGATAACATAGCAATTATGGTACTGAGCAAAGTACTTTTTTCTAGATGGTGCTGTTTTCTAGATTTGCTTTATTACACATGTCTAGCAGATGTGTAATAATACAGACAACCTGGGTATTTTTCAGGGCTTTCATAATGATTGTAGTATTTATATAGGAGCACTTTTGTTCCCTTTTTACTGGGCTCTTGAAATTATTTAAAACTTTCCGCCCCATACCATTTTCAGCATTTTAAAAATTATTTACTTGCTTAACAGCTAACTCTTAAATCAACTGATGTTGTTGGCTTTGTGGCAGTTGTCTTAGTGGTGAGGGTGTTTTGTTCTCTTTTTATGTTAAGCATTAGATTCCTCCTCCTCTTCTTTCCCTGTATCCTGCCCTACCCTGAGCATTCCAGAACCTTAGTCTGGAGTGTCATTAGCAAGTGTAGAGTCCAGAAGCTGCAGTCAACAACCACAGTAGCATTGTGCTAGATCAAGGGGGCCAATCTTGAATTTACCAGCCATGTAATAAAATTTCCATTGGCCCTGAGCGCCACAAGACCCATCTCGTTTTCCTTGGAGAGCCAACAGAAGGGAGGATTTCTGGAAGTGCTCCTCCACAGGAGATAGCAGTGGGTTCCTCAGGGCGCCCTGTTCTGCTGCAGGGTTGGGTTGCCTTAGGCAGGGCACAGGAGACAGTCCCGCGACGTCAGCTTCTGCGGTGCCTGCTGGCCCATTCCTGCAGCACATGGACGTGTGTTGTAGCCCCCCCATAGGAATCATAGGGCATCTTGCATAATTTTCTTGTGGAAATCCAACTGTGCAGTTTCTTAGGAATGTGGGAGGCTCGGGCTTTTTGCCATTGGGCTTGATAGGTGATGGACAGAAAACACAAGAGATGTCCCTGTCATAAAGAACTTGTACTTAAATTATTAGGAGGCAACAGTTACTTAAAGGAAGGTACAAGTTAACAATGATACAGTAGATTAGCAACAGCCTGACAATAGCTGAACTTCTGTAGAGTTTTTCTTCATCAAAATAGTTACAAAAGAGATCTTGAATTGTGTTGATTTTTGGTTAGATTTTTTTTTTCAGTGAATGTTTGCAAGCTTGACTTTTGATAATTAAAACGGAGCATACTGACATTACCACTGTTTTGGATAAAATGTCATGTATGAAACTTATTCTTGTTACCAGTATGTTTGAATTACAGCAAATTTCAATCTACTTTGGCATAGGCTCGAATGTTGATAACGGAAGAAAATCTCATGACCACTATCATCAAAACTTTTATGGACCACTTAAGGCACCGTGACATCCAAGGCAGGTTTCAGTTTGAACGATACACTGCTCTACAGGCTTTCAAATTCAGACGTGTTCAGAGCCTTATTTTGGATCTCAAGTAAGTATACTAATTGTGTGCTAAATTGATAAATTAAAAAAAAAAAAAAGGAACTAACATTTGTATTTGTTTCTAATACACTCAGGTATGTGTTGATAAGTAAGCCAACTGAGTGGTCAGATGACTTGAGGCACAAGTTTCTAGAGGGTTTTGATGCCTTCTTAGAGTTACTCAAATGTATGCAGGTATGTAAATCTATAAAGTACAAAATACACAGAACTTTTTCTTTTATAACAAGAGATTAGCTTTCATGATTTAGAAATTGATGAAATTTAATATAACTTCTATTTTATGATAACTTGAATTCAATAAAAAGAAAAATCAGTTCAAATAGAAACATGTGAAATTGGTCATGTTTTGCAGCTGTACAGGCATAAAAGATGCATTTAATTGTTCAAATCTTATCCATCTTAACTAACATTCTTTCTTCACGCGTGCTCAAGATACTACTTGAGTGTCAGCAGAGTTGCAGTTCGTGTTAAGGAATACAATCTCCTGACATCTAAGTAGGCATCTTCACTGTGGTCTTTTTTCAGCTTTTTAATGCCCTGTATTACATTAAGAATTATGTTGAATGCATTTGGGGCTTTTATTTGAAAAGCATTGGGGCTTTTACTGGCGAGAACATACTTCTTAATACCTATCTTTTGTTAGTCTATTAAAGGTAACTGCAGTATATTCAAAAGTAGCAACTATCAGAACACGTCGTGTTTATCTTATTGGGCCCAGATCCGATTAGGCACGTTAGTGCTCGGTCTTTAGTCAGTTGTTATCTGCATTAGGCGTGTTAGTATTTGGTCTTTAGTACTTATCTGCATGTCTCTAGAAAATACATTTTTGAAAAGTGAGATGTCTTTTCACATTGATGCTTATATGTAGGAGTCTCTGCAAAAAGGAATGATTGCTCATGATGACAAATTTTCCCCAGTGTTAAAAGTAGTAATAAATAGATCTGAAACTTTTCTTGTCCTAGTATTCATACCTGCTCAACTTCCCATTTAATTTCCTTGTTGTTTTAAACCTATTTGGTTCCTTTCAGAAAGTGCTCAATTTTCTTTTTCATGTTGTAGCAATGTATGTAAATAAGAATAGATAGCCACTGCCCTGTCTTCATGTAATGTTGTCGGGGTTTTTCACTGGTATGTTATTGAAATGCATAATTCTTTTGGTTTCAGGGCATGGATCCGATAACTCGTCAAGTAGGACAGCACATTGAAATGGAACCAGAATGGGAAGCAGCATTTACACTGCAGATGAAGTTAACACTTGTTATTTCAATGATGCAGGACTGGTGTGCTTTGGATGTAAGTTTCTTCTGGGTTATCTTTTCCTTATTGATATGTGAGAAAAGATGAAACTTAATAATATATGTTGAAAGTAATATATGTTAACAATGGAATAAAATGCGTAAGTGTACCACCAGCCAAAAATCTTTCCTTGTAAGCCAGTGTTTTGTGTGTATGTGTGTAAGCAGAAATACTGCTGAAAGCTCTGTCAAACATCCTGGTGTTTGGTTGTCTGTCTAAACACTATTAGATTATAATTGCTAGAGAAGGTAGGGAGTAGAGGACCAGGCCCTGGATCTACCTATGCTGCCTGACTGTAAATTGTGTTTCTATATCATAAATGCTTCAAACTTTATTACATGTAGAGCTTCAGCACAGTAAATTATTGCCATGGAACAGGCAGGTGACCCTAGAAAGTCTGGAGATTCAAACTGGCCTTAATCTGTCTCTTTTAGTCAGCTTGTATGTTTTGTTGACAGAACATGATCGTTGCTCAGAAGGTTTTATGGTACCAGTTAAAGAAATGTGCTAGTGAGCCTTTCCTTAAGCAGATAAACCTAGAGAAGTTTCAATATCTATGTCCTTCTTAATGATTCAGCTTATGTTGGAGTCATGATCTTCTAGGACTGTTAATAAAGGTAAAATTGAAAATACTGTATCAAAACTATCAGATACAGATATCTCTGTATAATGGCTATGTTGTTTTTGCAGAGCTCTGTTTCCTTCATAATCTGCATAAACCACAATCTCTCTTGCAGGAGAAAGTATTAATTGAAGCTTACAAGAAATGCCTGACCGTGCTGATGCAGTGTCACAGTGGCTTTACCGATGGCGAGCAGCCGATTGTCCTCAGTATGTGCGGCCACTCCGTTGAGACCATCAGATACTGCGTTTCTCAGGAAAAAGTTAGCATTCATCTGCCAGTTTCCCGTTTACTTGCAGGTATGAACTAGCTTACAGTGTTTCACTTAACGTATTTCAGGTAATGAAAGCATTGTCTAAACGTACCTGGAACTTATGTGGACATAAGGAACTACACAGCAGTTGTGGACATCCTGAGCAGAGTGTACTTGAGACCTTTGCTAGCTGTTGGACAGCCTTGAGGCAAAATGCTCCTAAGCCTTGGAGAAGTTGTTGTGGTTTCAGGCCTGGGGGAAGTTCTCATGGCTGTGTAAGCCCCAACAGGGGATGCTCCAGGCAGCTCATGTTCCTTTTGTGTCATGTGCCTGATTCAAAGAGAGTCAAACAAAACAGAATCTGTAGTTAACAGATTCCTTTGAGATATGGTTAGCTGTAAGACTGAATAAACTACTTGACAGTCCGGTTATAGAGCAGGTCTATCGAATATCTACTGATAACAAACCAAGGTGTCACTAGAAAATTAGGCATATATTAAAAAAAATCTTTTCCCTTGTATTGTGGTTAACTTGTCCAACAGTTGTGTTCAAAAAGATTGAATTTTTGTTCAAATGGAAGCAAAGTCACCCGACAGTAGAATAAGTTCGCAGATTCTCTGCAATGAAATTGGATTTTTTTTATCCTACTGAAATTATGTAAAATATTGCATGCTATGTAATGTCTGTGTTCTATGTGTTCGTATAGGCTTGCATGTTTTGCTGAGTAAAACCGAAGTGGCGTATAAATTTCCTGAGCTGCTGCCCCTGGTATGTAATTAAGTGGAAATTATTCAATATATCAAATTAATACTTTTAATATCATGAAAGTGTAATTGAGTATGTAAAAGTAAATATTATTAAAAATAACAATTATCTTTCTGCTGTAAATTCTGTTTAGGGAAGTAATCTTGTGTAGTGGGTAGAATTGCCTGTTGAAGGATGAATAGGTGGTCATGGCTAGGCATTCAGCCTAGTCAGTCAATATTGCCCTCTTAAATAATTTAAGACTCAAATATAAGATTTCTGTTTTGTTTAATGCATTACCTTCTTTTTTCACAGTAGATTTTTTTTTTTTAATATCTGCTGGCATAACCTCCTACTTTCACCTTGGGCTTTGGAGTTCCAAGTTTTGTTCCCCAGTTTTTTCTTTCTTCCTGCATGTTCCTACACTGCTCCTTTAACGGGGAGTGGGAGGGAGTGTTAAAAAGAGCAAAATATGTAGAAAGAACAGAACTGACAAAATGTGTTTTGAAAGATTAATCTTTAAATGAAAGAAAAATTAAAATATCAGTTACTGGATTGAAACATGAAAAGTACTAAGGAATTAAGTCCACACAGAGTACTTTTGGAGCAAGTTAAATATCAGATTTGTTAAACCCATATAACCCAGCTAAACAGTCTTATCAAACGTTTGTAATATGTGTTTTGAACATGCTGCTTTTTTATGTTCCTGAAATTATTTAATGACTAAAATGTTCTCTCTTCTCTGCTATTTTGACCCCATTTCCTTTAACTTTTCTCTATTTATATGAAAATATTATGTCTCTAATGCAGAGTGAACTTAGCCCACCTATGTTGATAGAACATCCTCTACGATGCCTAGTCCTCTGTGCTCAAGTGCATGCAGGAATGTGGAGAAGAAATGGATTCTCTCTTGTTAATCAGGTAAGTACTTAATAGCTCTATAATCTCTCTTTTCTGATAAGTTTATAAATGGTGATTTTGGACCTCAAGAGCTTCTCTTGCTGTATTGAGGGAAAAAAACCCCCAAAACCCAATGTGGACTTCCAAATCTGGTTGTGGAAGGGCAGTGGGAGTGAGACACTTGGATTACTTGAATGCTTAGACTTTTAAACTGATCTTTGGTTTCTTGGTCAGCAGTTGCTTTTTTTTTTTTTTTTTAAATCTTGGTACTACTGCAGTGTTCAGTGAACTTAACCCTCTGCTCCTAAAGACACTTTTAAGTATAGTGCAGTGAATACTCCCCACCTTGTTTACTGCGCGGTGTCCAGCAACAGTGGCAAAAGTGCTGAGCTGGACTGGTATTTCTTTGGTAATGCATTCATCATCTTCCTCTAAAAAAATATGCCTCAAATATATAAATACGCACCTCTGAGGTAAGATAGTACTACTATTTCTAAGGCAATTATAATCCTTAAATCACATAGTAAAAAAGCATTAGGTTCATGCTAGAAACAGTGGTTCTTCTCTTTTCCCTCTCTGGAGAGGAAGAGCGAGCGAGCACATGCTTCTGGAGACTAGCCTTTTTGGACTTCTTTTTTTCCCCTGCCTTTGTAAGAACGAGGTCCTGAGTGTTTTGAGTACCACAGCTCTAGGATGGATTCTGTAGTGTTGTTGCCTCCCACCGGGGTGGTGATGGTAAGTGACTTAGCAAGACAAATCATAACAGAAATAGAGTTTAGTTCTGTGAGGTGTTAGCTTGATTTAAGTGTGAAAATATTCTTTCCCTCCCACACGTCTCCATCTTCATCAGACAGCTGCAATTTCTGTGTACTTGGAGGCTGAAATCAGTTTGTGTGCACAGCTTAAAATGTCACTCTTGCCTTTTAACCTAAAGAATATGTTCTTATAAGGTGATATTTTCATTTTTAAAGCAAAAACCATGCTATATACCACTATAACAACATCTATGCTACTATAAACACATATGAACTCTGAAATCAACATCTGATGGAGAAATAAATACTTTCTGTGTTAACTTCCCTTGATTTTGGGAATCTTAAATTTAAGAGAATGGCTAAACTAGAGCACAGTGACTTCTGTGGTCTAGAAAAGCCTTTTTCTTTCCATTGACTATAGAAAACTCATGTTCAGAAAAATACTGTAGCCTCCCTTCCCAGAAGATAGGGATGGGTATTTGCTTGTGGATTTGCTTTTGGAGGAAGAGAGGGCAAGCTCTGCTGTCTAATTGACGTAATATTTGTCAGAAATGATGAGAAACTTCCTTCCACTCACTCAAGGAAGGTAGAGCGTACCGGAGATAGTACTCAATCCTACCTAGAAACTTTGCAGCCTGTGTGGTGTCTTGTTTGGTGTGTTTTTTGGGTGTATTCTTTAATTTTTTTGGTGTGTGAGATATTTCATGGTGGTGGGTGGTTGTTGTTTTTGTTTGTTTGTTTTGTGTGTGTGTGTGTTTTTTTTTTTTCCTCCTCTAATTGCTGCTGTAACATTATTCTGAAATTGGCAACTCCTGAAAGATTTGGTCTTAGCTCATGGAAGAGCATTTTGTGCAGCAAAGAAAGAACACTTGCACGGTCTTTTACTCCCATGAATTTCAGATGCTTGAAAATTATACTTGAGTACAATACAAATACTTTTGTATACAAACATAACAAAATAAATTTTACAGGCTTTTAATATATCTTGAGTCACTAATACTATATGGTAAGAGAGTTTTCTTTCCAGAAAGAAAGTTTGGAAAAATATAATAGTTGTTAAATATTTATAGTATTCATTAAATATTGTGCTTTTTTTTTTCCAGATTTATTACTATCATAATGTGAAGTGTAGAAGGGAGATGTTTGACAAGGACATAGTCATGCTTCAGGTAACCACGTATACCAACCAACCTGCCTTTTTATTGGGCATTTTAAGGGTTTGTGTGCATGTGTACAGCTACATCAAAAGCCTTTAATGGCAAGGAAAAAAAGTCAATTTGCTTGTGGATGAACTTCTGTTCTTCATCATTTGTTGCTTGTGTATGTTTTTTTTAAACATTCTGCAGAAAGTGTAAAACTTCTTGTGTAATGGCTGTGTGATACTGCATCCTTTAAAAATGTAATATTTTAACCAGCAGATGATGCTGTACTGGCAGTTATATGAGTCTTCAATATTGGGTTCGTTGCTTGTGTTACCCCCTTCTCAGTTTTTCTCTTTCCATCAAAACTGACCTTTAAAATTCTGGATAGAAGGTAGAAGTGCATACAGTGTTTTGGCAGTTTTGCTATATTGTAAAATTTCTGCTGAAACCCAAAACTGAGGGTGCATTTAGTCTTGGCCCAAGAAGATCTGATGCTTTATATCTAAATTGAATTGATGAAAACTATTGCAGCTGAAGATTTGCAAGTGACCAATACAGAAAATTCTTTCACAAGAGGACCTCCAAATCTTACTTAGACTTAGCTCTGCCCAGCACAATGTGTGTGTTTTGGTGTCAGACGTATTTCACAAAGGTTTGATCTATCCCTGATTTGTGATGTTCACCATCACGTGGATATAAGCATTTTTGTGAGAAATTATTCTCTCAAGATAGTCCTGTTAGGAGTAAGAAAAAAATACTTGCTAAAATATTACAAAAAAAAAAAAAAGCTTGCTAAAATCTTACCTGTTGAGTAGCAATATAGCTGAATTAGCCAGTTATTAATAGTTCATTTTTCAGAAATGGAAGCGAATGCATGACATGATTTAAAAATCAGTAGTATTCTTTCCAGGAAAGTTTGGAAAGTCTTCCTAATGTTGTGAAAGTTGCAACTTAGAATCTGTGAGGGTTTTTATTTTTTTTGTTTTGTTTTTAATCAGTACATGGTATAAATTAAGTGCTAAACACATATTTAATATGCCCCTCAGGAGCTGGGATAGCAGGAAGAGTAGCGGAAGAAAACCAAAAACTTTTTTGTGAATTTTGTTTGGGATGTAAAGAATAACCCTGAATATTTTACACTTGCAAGGGCATCAACTTCATAAAGCAGAGAATGGTGTTTATTCAAATGAATGGTGTCACTTGCATTATTGAAGCCCTATGAGGGTAAGCTTAAGTAGTTAAATATATAGGGCTAGGACAGAGGAAGAAAAATGACTATTGTAAGGAATATACTGTGAATGAAAGGAATACATATATATACATATATATATACTTTAATAACCCCAGGTATTATAACACCATTTATAATAACCAATCTCTTTTTCTCCTGATTTAACAGACAGGTGTATCTATGATGGATCCAAATCATTTCCTGATGATAATGTTGAGTCGATTTGAACTTTATCAGATATTTAGTACTCCAGACTATGGCAAAAGATTTAGCACAGAGAATACTAACAAGGTATTATTTATATTGCCATTATAGAAAATTTGTTAACTTGTTTTTGAAAATATGTCATAATCGGTTGCGTTAACTTTGTGTAATTTCTTGACAAAAATAGAGAAGTAACCATACCTTATGTTAGTTTCACAATTTGAAATGTGCATAAATATATATAGATGTTGAAATGATAGATGTAAGAAACTGATGTATAATTTTAGCATTATTCAAGAATTTTAAGGCAATTGTGACTGCATTTCATAAATTTAAATTTTGAAGTGTAAGTGTGGAAAAATGATAATATTTTCAAAATAGATACTATTTTCAGCTTACGGAATAATATTTCTTTACTCTTGCATGAATGTTTTTTATGTTTTTTTTATATTAAATCAGGATGTTGTTCAACAAAATAACACTCTTATAGAAGAAATGCTGTACCTCATTATAATGATAGTTGGTAAGTTTGGAATCATTTTTTTCCTTTTCTCAATTTGTTTAATGGTATAGAATGAGCATATTTCATTCAGTTCCATATTCAATGCAGCCTAAACTACTTTCCCATGTGGAAAGACTTGCAGAATTTAGTTCAATTTTAATTCCTTTAAGGTACAAGTATCAGTCCTGCAAATTCATTCTGCTTGTGGAAAAAAAAGATGTTAGGGCCGTGAAACTAGCTTAAATTAATTCAATGATATTTGTGAGTGCTGTTGGGTGAATGGGTGGGATTTCCCCCAAAATATTTGTTTTCTACTCTTTAAGTGGCAAAAGAACAGAAAAGAAAGTAGTATTTTAAAAATCTTAAAGCTCCTGTTACCTTTTTTTCGCAGGAGAGCGATTCAGCCCAGGAATAGGGCAGGTAAATGCAACAGATGAAATCAAACGAGAGATCATCCATCAGCTGAGCATCAGGCCCATGGCTCACAGTGAATTGGTAAAGGCATTACCCGAAGATGTAAGTTACTTGGAAAAAATGTAACTTCAGCCTTATTATATTACTGCAAATGTCTGTCTTAAATATTTTTATGCACTTAAATGAGGACTGGGAGCAGCATGATTATAAGAAAAGTAAGATTAGTGCAGGTACAGATTAATAGTTGTCAGGAAGAGGTAGGAAAGAAGGATAGAAGGAGAAAGCTCTTGCGTCGTTCAGATGTTAAGATATGAGAGCTGCTTTCCTCTTTTTAATACTATTTCTTATCAAGTCTCCTGGCCGTCAGTCTCTGTATTCTGATAATAAGTCCTGAG